GGGCCCCCCAGGCAAAAAGGCACCAGCAAGGAGCTTTTTGGCTTAATACAAAGAAAATAAAATATATCAAATTGAGAACTCTTATTATTACAGAGACATGTTAACAAAGAGAAACAGCATAAAATTGCCACAGAACACCAAACATCCAGCACAGAGAGCAGCTTTCATCCACTTGCTGAGGGTTTATGTGGGTGCAGAGATTTTCTCTGTGAGTCACAAGCACAGGGTCCCTCTGCTGCCCCAGGGAATGAGCTGGGGGCGAGCAGGCACCGCTGGGCACGGGGAGGCTTCAACCCACCCGGAGGGGCTGGAGCACCCTGCCTGCCCCAGGTCTGGAGACAGGTAGAGCACAGACACCTCTCTGTAATCCCAGGATTCTGCCTGAACATGCGAGGACACTTTGTGCAGTCAAAGAGGACAGAAACAAAGGACATTCCATCGTTCCCCAAGAGCAAACACCATCCCTGCCTAACCACAAGCAGCCACAGGAAACCTGGAGGAGCCAATACCGACAGCAGTCTATTCCAGTATGTGCTCTGTGCATGCCATGAAAGGGAGGACCTTTGCAAACTGGGCAGCACTCAGCCAGAAAAATAATTAAATTAGAAGTTTCTACTAACTTGGTACATTCTGACTCATTTCTTGAAGAGCATTCAGTGCCTCAGTGTGCTCTCTCAGAGCATCACACTAAATAAATATTTTTAGTGACAGAAAATGGGCCACACCTTTATTTTACATAGGTACAGATATCTTTAGCATATATTATTGAAACATCCAAGGTAAGAACTCAGCAAGGGGAGGGACCCCACGAGGACTGTGAGGGCAGCAGCTCTCGGACTGCCCGGGGGGCTGGTGACCCCTGGGGTGCCCCTCAGCATCCCCACAGAGCACGGTGACGGCCCCCCGGCCCCGCAGGGCTCAGAGCAGCGAGTGGTCCTGCGGGATTTGCCTCCCTGGCCGAGCCCGATGGCCGTGACTGAGGGCCCTGTTCCCTGAGCTGAGCACAAAGAGCCTCTTGAACATTATGGCAACAGCACATGGATGCTGCCAGTTCTCCACTCATCCATGGCCTCTCTGAGTGGAGAGTCACTGCCCCAGCTCTCGCTCCTGCTGAGCTGAGCTCCCTGCTGAGGCAGGGGGTGCTGGCAGGAACCTGACAGGCTCAGGAGGGCACAGGTTTGCCTTGGGAATGCCACATGCCATTGCACCGCCTGATCCCACCTTCTGGCATGACACAGGACTGAGGAAGAGTCTCTCCTGCCTTCACTAAAGGCAGCATTCCTTATTCTGCACCCTCTGTCATGGAATTGGGCCCAGCCATGTACAACACTGCTCTCAGGGAGATGCCAAGTGTGTCCCTTGTTCTCCATCTGCTGCCTTGGGCAGGAGCTGATGGTCTGAGCTCTGACTCGGACTGAGCTGGCCCAAAAGCCCCCACACCTCTGAGATGAGCCAGAGCAGAGCCAGAGAGTCTGTGGTTGGCTTCTGGCTGCGACACCAAGGGGGTCCCTGCTCCAGGGCTTGGCCACCCTGAAAGGAGCCTCAGGGACAGTTTCTGTGGGACTGTGAACACAGTGAAATTCTCTTTGCTTTATTAAAGCAAAAGTGGACAAGAAAATGCAGAAGAAAACACAAAGCACAAAGATTCATGGCAGGAGCTGGACTTTGGTATTTCTTAGGTCTTTTCTTCTCCAGTTCCTGCAGCAGCCCAAGAAAATCCAGGTGGAAACAGTGTTCATTCCCCCAGCAAATACACACACAGGTGCTGCAGGTCCTGGCTCCCACATCTCCTGGTAACTATAAGAACCCAACTTCTGAATGAAAAAGTTGAAATTGTGGTGCTGAAGAGAGAAAGAACATGACCCCAGTGCCCCCACCTGCCCCCCTGCCCTGGACTGGGGGTGGTGCCCATGACCTGCTGCCCTGCTCAGCACCCGCCGGCCAGAGCAGCTGCACACACGTGGTGACACACCTGGGGCAGGTGACACACCTGGGGCAGGTGACACA